TGCTCCCTACCAAGCATCCGCTGGTAACCGTGGTACAGAGAGGCAGAGGAGGAAAAAATCTCATGTAAACTGCTGAGTGTTAGCACAGCAGGTCCACCACCGAGGCAGAAAGCACATGCTCCAAATATTCCGCTCACCAGGCACAGCTCTCTGTCTTAGGGGAAGGCAAACACCTTCCCAGGAGTCTGCAATAAGAAAGGAGGGCTCCAAAGGTCCACTGAGCTACCAGGAAGAGAGACAGCAAGTCTACAGCAGCCTCGTACAACCACCCCACGTGGGCTTGTTGCAAAACACGAGGAACGATACCCGATGCCTCCGGGGAACAGCTCCTGCACACACAAGCTGTGGTGCACGCCACGCACGCGCAGCGCCTGTGTCACCGGTGCATGGCTGGGATCCTACAAGTCTTCGATCCCCTTTGCAGAAACTCTGAGCAGCTGAAGACATCCAGCAACGGGAATTTAAAATTGCCTCGCTCTGATTTTCACCCTTCAAAAAGCATTAAATTCAATTACTCCACATGAGAAGAAATTCTATCTCTATCATGGGCAACAGTTCTTTCAGCAGCCATCAGCTGTGCCTGTGGACGAGCAGGCTGGAGAGAGCCAGGAGTATCCTCCTCTTTCCAAAAGGCACAAAAAGAGATGTGAGTCCTCACCAATGACCATTTTACTCCCCAGATCCACTCCTACCGTGCTGTACAACTTGTTACTGAACATTTTAGCCAGCGGGTAACATGCCTGGGGTGAGTGGGGGGGTCAGGTTTGCAGGGCGCTCACGTGCACGCCCGGTCAGCATTGCTGCACATCCTCATCCAAGGAAGCAAAATTCCCTTCATGTGTGTCTTGGTGAAATGTGTTTTCCTGGCCGAGAGGACTCACAGCGGCCGCCCAGCAGATGGCAACAGGGCGCCCAGCACCGCGCTGCACTGCGCCCCCAGCCAGCCCTGCTGCCCCTCCAGCGCTCACCCGCAGGAGCTTTGTCCACTCCGCTTTGCAGACCTCAACGAGAAACTTCCCAGAACCTTGTTGGCCCAGGTTCCCATGGCTAAAATCTGCATTTGTGCTATTTACTGTGGTCCCTTTACAGAACAGTTTCTCGCACCAGCTCGGCCTCTCCTCCAGCCCACCTAAGGTTACACAATTCGGGCAGCACAACGAATTTTTGTGGCTTGCTTTCATTTTTGGGAGAGTTGGCCTTCCCGCTCTGCCTTGCTCCACAGCAGGCTCATCTGCCTCCAGGAGCGAGGGCAGAGGGTCCTCACTGGGTGAGGCACAGCAGGTATTCAAGAAAGCTAACTCTAAATTCACCTTACCCCCCTGCAGAGCACTGCAAACAAGTCTATGTACCTCCGAAGTGAGTCACGAGCTTCATGGGAGGCGAGGATAACACCTACCTTCCAGTTAGTCAGAGGCAAAGCTGCACTAGCCCAGCCTGGGGGGAAAACAGGCAAAGACTCAGGTGTCTGGACAGACACGGAGCTCCCTTTACGTAACTTTTGCAAAGCAGGGTAGGCAAAAACCGCTGTCGTTACTTTTTGGTGATGTTTCCCTGCAGAAGTAGAAAGCAGTAAGCTTATCACCCAGCTGAAACCGTTGCACCTCTACCTCAGTCAAGGAGAAACATGCTACCAGGGGCTGCAGGCACGTAACTCTGGCAAGGTTATGCTCTCCCCATTGTCTTAACAGAGTCACGCAACCAGAAATCCTCTTTGAAATCAGTCTGACACACAGTCCTGTCTGCTGGACGGAGCTGGCAAAGGGCAACAAGAGTCAGAAGCTCTGCGCCATGTCGGGAGCAACACCAGTGGCTGAGTTGTGGAAGTATCTGACATCAAGTGTTGTGTCAAGTGTTGAAGTTCAGACCTTTCCCCCTTGGAGAGGCTTTTAAGGCCCTTACTGGAAGATGCAAGTGTTGGTCCTTCTCTCTGTAGAGCAAACACTCGCTGAAAGACACCAGTCCCGGGGACGCAAGGTTTTCCACAGCCGTTCAGCTCTTTCTGATGACAGCCACCAGAAGAGGGGATGAGTCACCAAGAAGAGCAACCTTATTAACAAAGAGAAGACATTTTCATTTAGACTGCTTAAAGTGCTTGTTTACACTTGTTCGAACAAACATTTAGGAGAAAAGGTCTCTGTCAAGGCCCCAACACTTGTCAGAGTCAAGCACTCAAGCCACCACGATTCTGGTCTCTTTAAGGGGGATCACAGCCTATACTCCTAATCCAGAAATCACAATTACCCTCAGCACCACAACACAGTAAAAGCAGCACCTCTCCTCCTTCAGCTCAACCTCTCAAATGCCCTCTGATGTGACACAAGAGGAGAAAAGCTAGCTGTGCTCCTTCACCCCAGGGCCCTGCCAAAGCAAGAGGGGCTCATCCGGCGTCTGAAGTTTTGGGGGCTGAGAAAGAAGCCGTTGTGTTCAAGAGGCTGCTGAGCTGCCTGGCGGTCCCATGAAGTGGCAAGTTTGAGAGCTGCATGCTCACCGGGCATCATATTCCCAGGTCTGAAACGGGGATGCTTGAAGATATAAACTGCTTTTCGGTGGTGTGGGAGGTCTGCTTGGAGGAAAGGTAGCACCTTCACTTTTGGCAGGGTGCTTTTTTCCTCCCTCCTCTTTTCCAGGTGAACCCAAGCAAGGTGGAATATATATATATAAATCTGGAGACAACATTTATTCTGTTTTCTCTCTTCACGATTTCCAGAGCAGCTACCTACTGCACCTAGCGAAGCAGGCCCTGCTGAAGTGCCCCCCACCAGCAGACAGCTCTGCCAGGCAGGGCAGCACTGTGCTCCGGTCAAAAACACCCAGTTGCTGCTCCCAGCAGGTTGCTTTTTTATGATGGCTCCTCTCATCCAGCTTTCCAAGGTACAGCACTACAGGACATGTGGAATACAACGCATGTCGGGAGCTCGCTGCTCAGCTGAACAAGAATAAAAACCACGAGCCCCAAGGCACCGATTTATTTTTACACTTGCAACGCCGAGTGGTATTTCTTGATCATGTTCTCATTTGCCAAACCTCTATGAAATCCTCGCAGGCTGGAAATTATTTCGAATCATGTATCCAAGACAACAAAGGTAATTCTTCCCAGGCATATTAAGTGTAGACACCACAGAGCTCTGATCTTTAGACTATTATAATACCATGAATTCAGTATAAGAATCCATTTACATCTTTCTGAAAAAGAGATTTGGGATTCATCACCTTCTTCCTTTGGGTCACCTTGTCGTTTCAAGGAAACGATGGCCCAGCAGCAGAAGTATTTCATCCCAGCGGGGCACATACCCGGCTTGTTGGTATTCCTGCCCAGAATAGCTTGCAGCACTGACAGAGCTCATCTATGTTAAATCAGCCCTTAGAAAACATCCCTGCTCTGAATTGCAGAGGAGATTGTCCCTTGATGCAGGTTTGAGGAGCAAAAAAATGAAAGCACTCGCCTGCACAAGCACTGCAACGCAGACTGCCACAGCCTCTCGACTGCCTGGTCCAGCGGTTAAAAAGCACATTTGTGACCTTGGACCAGATAGAGAAGAAGATGAAACCCCATCTCCCTGCTTGCCTTCCTCTCCCCCTTCCACCCAGCTACCACTGGGTTTTGTAACTATCTTGCAAAGAGGAAAAATAATTTAATATTCAACACATCCTCTAAAGCTTAAGCTTTCCAGAGGGAGGAACGCAGCTCTTAAGGCTGTGTTCACCCGAGCAGATCTAAAGGAATAAGCAAAGCTGTTGCCTTGATCGAGAATGGGAGCCAGCAAACCAGCTCAAGAGGAAACCCATGCCCAGCTGGGAAATGGGATGGTGACCTGGTCAAGCACAAGTTTTCAAAGTGAGAGCCTCTAGCCATCTCAAGGGACAGACCTGTGCTGCTCATTAACACGGGGACGAGCGGTTGCCCAACACCTGGTTCATCCCTAGGAAACTCTAAAGAATAGCTTGAGTCTTTTATCAAGAAATCACAAGGACAAAATACCACGTAACAGACTATAAAAAGTAAGGGTATGTATACATGTGCATGCAAATCCAAAGGTGGTTGGGAGTCCCTTTGCAAGTAACAATCTATGTGACAAAAACATCCAGGCTACTAAGACACAGGAGTCAAAAACCTGAAGAGGAAACTTTAGGGAAGGAGAAGCAGAAGGAAGCTATCTGGTCCCCACATTGGACTAGGGAGCCAACCAGCCCTTTGCTCTGAAGGAACCTCCAGCACCTTCCGCTCCAGACTGGAAGGCACGGAGCAGGAACGGAGGAAGCCTACCAAGGAAAGCCTAGAACTCCATAAACACAGACAACCGGTCACTGCAGCAACAGCCTCCTTTCTAGCCAGGAAGAACGGATCCAGGACAGCACTGCAATATGCTCCTAGAACACAGAAAGGAACTGAGGGATGTAGGCTATAACTCCAGTAAAAGGAAAAAAAGCACATCAGACAAGCATCCTCAACCAAACCCAAGAATAAAGCGGGGGGAGGTGGCATAAATTTAAAAAAAAAAAATAAAAAAAAATCTACATTTTGTCCTTCGCTCTACCTTCTATTGGCCAAACAGCACTCAGTGCCAACATCTGGCCTCTCCACTTTGCCTCTCGGGTAGGCTCCCAGCTGGTATCTCTCAAAATCAGGCTGAGGTCCTCCAACCTCAGAAACTCCAGCAATAAGACAAATACGACAGCAGCGGGCACCCATGGCGCATTGCTAGCGTTTCACCGCAGAAAGGGTCTCCCTCCTCCACCCAGGGCAGGATGCTTTAGCAATTCTGCAAGCTAAAGACAGCACTGGCCATGGGTTTTTGCTCGAATGCCAATTTTAACTTAAGCAGCACCAAATGCTTGGTGCAAATTCTCTGGGCCTGTCACCCACAGATTAAAGGATATGCCTGCACTACATGTTTAGCAGCCCACAGCCAAGGCCCCTCTGCCCCAGCCAAACCCTCCGTGCTCAAGACTCACTCTGTATACAGCTGACATTTGCAGGAGTTAACAGTGCTCATACTTGCCTCAAACGTGACAAAGTCATCAAACTCATCAGGACAGGCTGGGACTTCCTCCTCGGGGGTATATCCCATATCATACAAGTGGCTGTCAGGATCTGCAGAGGGAAATAAAAAAAATAAAATAGAATCATCAAGGGGAAACGCACATCCTCAAATGAAGAACAGCTTTAGGAGATGCGACAGCAGAAGGACAAGAACCTCCTCTTGCACGCACCAGTGCCTCCAGCTCTCAGGAAAGATCTCTGCTCCCAGGCATCTCAGGACCACCTTGGGCAGAAGACAACCGGGACGGTTGCTCCAGGCAGAGGTCCTGCGAGGCCCCTTGCTGCTCCGATGGGGCTAGCATCTGGATTCAGCCCTACCCCACCAGGGTCTCCGTTCCTTTTCCTGATTTCTTCCCTATCTCCATTTCCTGCATCCTCTTTTTCTTCTCCCAGAAGGCTTTAAATCCTGCTGTGGGCAGGGAATACATTAGATCTATGTGTGACAGCCAACTACCATGGGAACGGCAGAGAAAGCAGGCTGCACCAAAGCTTTTATCATCTCCTGCTCCTCCCGTGGCCAGCCACATCAGAAGCCAGCCTCACAGGGGGATAGGAAAATAGGAGGTTTTCAAGGAGACTTCTTTAAAAAAATCAACTACTCCTCCCACCCCCAAACACCCATCTGCAGCAGAGTGGAGCCGCATCCCTTTGAGCCCTTCGACCAAGAAGGGGAGTGTAAAATTCCCCGTGCTCCCTCAAGCAACAGCGAACACACGATCCAGCACACGACCTAGATCACAGGCTGGAAACACCAAATAGAGATCAGATGCTGCGGTCCCCAAAATAAATAGCAGGCTCAAAACCCACACGCCTCGGAGCCGGAAACGTTGCGGCACTGGGTTTGACTCGATGTTGATAACCTTGGCCGGGCAGAGGGACTCACAATGCCAGCGCTCCCAGGAAAGCTCGGCCATCGCATGGATTTGGGGAGGGACAGGTTTTCCTTTTAGGGCTGCTCGAGGCAGGCAACGAGAGCAGAGCTACAAAGCAGGCTCTGCTTTCTGTGTCCTTCAAGCTGGTGGCTTCCCAGCAGGCTGGCAGCCCCGCCAACTCAAACAGCTCCCAGGCTCGAGTCCAAACCGAAGGGGCACGTAAGTCGCGGGACTCTGCTGCAGCTGAGCCGCCCAGCCGGGATCATACGCAGTCTTCCTCAGAGGGCATATTCCCCATATAGCTACAGCCAGGGCTCCCGCTTTGGGTCCATCTCCAGGGAACAAGAAAGGCCATTTTTCATTAAGGGATCTGTACATCCAGTATGAAAGGCAAGGGATTAGGGTGCAGGATGCAGTAAGGAGTCAGCCTTCCCCTGGTTTGGGGCTCCCAGGGGTTAGACCATAAATCAAAACCAGGAATAAGCCAAACTGCTTTTTCAGAAACCAGCACA